TTTTACATAATCTCCCTCAACCCAATACTGCTCCTCCCATTCCTCTTGCCTTACTGTCCTTTTCAACGCTTCAGCCCTGTAATTGTAGCACAAGTATTCAGATCTGTGCTACAGTCAGAAATCCCCTGCAAAACTGAGCCAATTCACTTTTGAGGCTCATCACTTAGAACTGGCACTAGCAGTGACACAGATGAATTTCTATTTAAGAAACTAGAGTCTAAAACAGATGATCGATTTGGTCAGACACTTTATGCTATTTTACTTGTTTCCATTTAAACTTCTTATAGAGCTATATTGACAAAGTCTTACCCACAAATTATTCGTTGTATGGCCTTGCCTGCACTTTTTTGTGCCAAAAATATCCCATTGTTTCATCAACAGCAGGAACGTTGCTGTAGAAAAGATGCTGGTGGCCACCTGAATCCTATTTACACCAGCACTTTTATTGGGACCCGTGGTGGGAAATTACTGACAAAAAAGCCTCGTGTAGAGACAGCCGTGGTTATAAAGTGAGACATCTTCCTGCTGTCTTTTTAAATTAAGAATGTAAGAACTATTTGGAATCTGTCAAATATAACCACTTAAAAAAAATAATCTTGGTAGTACCTGCTCTAAAGAGGAGCCAGGAAAATTCCAAATTCGAAGTCTTAGAATGCTAATAAGTTAGTTTGTCTTTATTAATTTGAATTTAGCCTCCATTAAATCACTAAAGTCCTTTTCTCCTGAAAGCTTATTTTCTTAAACTATCAAAATATTCAAACTTCTTTAAAAATTTATCCTCAAAATCTGATTTACATAATATCATGTTACAAAAGGATTTGTCCTTTTATTGGCTCAGATACTGAAGGTACGGATTTCGTCCAGTGTCTCACCCTTCTTGCTGATACTCAGTTTTTTAAATAATGTAACTTTAATTAATCTGTTTGTAAGATTATCCAGTAACTCTTGCATGTACTTCACTTTTCTCTAAGTCTGTAAAAAACTTATTTCAGGTTTAATAGAACTGAATTCTTTTGACTAACACAGTTCATGCTGACAATTAAATAACCTATTGCTATGTATCAAACTCTGATTTTCTGTTCTATATGTATTTAATTCTGCATACTACTTTAAATATCCCTTATGACTACCAGTCAAACTCGGTAGATCTGAAAATTCCATTACTGGCCTGTTGAACTCTTCAGAGGCACTTTGCAGTTTTGGGAAATAAACTGAATCGAATGGCTAGGTAATAATAGGAGGCAGAAATGACTAGTTGGACTATCATACTAAATACTTTATTAAAAATATTCAACCTTGTGTCATTCTCTTAAAGTTTAAAGAGCTCAAAATGTACTAGGCAGTTTATTCTCATTTAGGGGTCATAAAGGAGGCCTATTTTGTTTTATTTCTGCAAAAGTTATAAACATGAAAAACTATTTTGATGACTTTAGTTTGAGAAGGTACACACTATTGTTTTTTAAAACAATAGGCGTTAGAGTATCATCACCTAATCCAATATACTTCTCCCATCACACAATGTGGTCTCAGCAATGTTTCAGACCCAAAGTTGCAATATTTTTCTCATGTCAATGCCATATTAATTAATTTAAACTAAACTGAGTGTCCACTTCCCCCCCAATAATGTAACCATCATTTTGAAAAATTATTGTTCAGTCTTTGCCTCTTAACCCAAAGTAATTAAAGATATTTTGTGAAAAGATAGGACCACTTTTTTTTTTAACTTGATCAATAGCAATGCTATTGAAGCTTAGAAATACAGCTAATAATCAAGTACCTACTTGGTTTTTTAAAATGTAATCAGCATTTTTGCTGTTTGAGTTTAATACAGAATGTTTCAGGTTCACTTAGGCTACTTCAGGCATGTGTTATGGTTCTAGGGATTTAAATAATTTAACCAGGTTCAAAGTATTATGTGTAATCAAAAAAATTACTGGGTTTGACCCACTTATTTATTCTTACAGGACAGAGGTACTACTTCTACGTGGGAAGTGGTGGATCAACGAAGAGAAGAGCAAAGACCTGAAACCAGCAGCTGATATAGCACAGGAATATGATTGGACTGATCATGTTGCAGTGAATGCTTTGGGAAATAATTTACAGTTGTTCCTAATCAAAATTTCAAAAAGGAACCCTGCAGAAACTTGTCTGTCTATTAATAAATAGTGTTAACTTAAATACCTCTCTGCTTGCCGCAACTTGCTTTTTCCCTTTAAGTCATTGATCTTTTTCCGCATGTATTGTGAAATAAGCTGGTAGTAACATAGGTGGTTTTGTTCAAGTAATGCAACAATTAACACAACTGAACAGCTGTAAAAATGGGATCTATAATCCAAGTAATTAGCTTATGACCCAGGTTTGCATATTTTAAATAGGTACATGTTCTATAGGTATTCAGAACAGAGTGCAGCTCAGAAGTTCCCTTTGCTCCTGCTGATTATTCATGCCCACTCCACTGGAGCCAGCCTATGTGGTGACCGAGCTAGGCTTACTGAGGAGAGGTAGAGGCAACCAAGACAAAAAGGACTGACTAATTTTTTTAGAACTTTTAAGGGAAAACCCCAAAATTGTACCATGAGCATAAAAAAAAATACAACGCAAGAACACAATTTTCCCCCACTGCAGACAAGGACAAAAAGGTCTGTTCTTGCATAACTTGATGTAGGAGCAGTGCCTCAGTCTCTTCCAATCATAATAATAAACTATAGGCTACCAACACATTAACCTTTGAGCTTGTACATGCTACTCTTGTCTGTGCAGATACCAAACACGTTATCAAAAGTGCTTATACTGTGTCACTTAAGAGAACAATCAACTTTTCCTCTTCTTGGCTGTAAGTCCAGCTCCATGTCCTGTTCTTTGTTTCTCTTCCAAAGGAAGTGCTCCTTGCAGCTGCTGGTCCTTGGGCTGTACCTTTTTCACCTAGTGGGCCCTCACATATCCATTAGGCACCTTTGAACTGTATTTCTTCAAACAGTCATTCCCCTGTTCATGTACCCTTTGTGGGTGGGTCCCTCATTTACTGTTTTCATCTAAGAGTTGTTTTTCCTTTGTTTACTGTCCCCTTGGTACTGTTATAGTGTAGATTTTATTTCCCTCTACTTCTGTTTACCAGATGAACTACAGGTGCTTCCTTTAAAAAGGAAACGACTTGCATTTCCCTCAGCTAGTGCAGACCTGTACAAAGTCTCAGAAGGCCTATTAAGAACGCACTCTTTCCCCACTGTAGACAAGGAAAAAAGGGTCTGTACTTGCATAACTTGAAATAGGAGCAGGACTTCAGTCTCTTCCAATGAGATTCCCCATAACCACCTCCAGCTCAGGAATAGAAAGTTACAATTAACAGTAGACACCATGAAAACAAGCATTTAAAATATGAAGACTGTTGCTCTGAGTTCTTCTTTAACCTGTAAAGAAACCAGCTCTCACTTCAAGAATGGGTTAGGTAAAAGGGTGGGAAGGGCTTCCACTTACTAAAAGACAACTAGGAACTTTTCTATGGAGCTAGTCTCAATGTATTCTACTGCTGGAAACCCTCCCTTATCCCTACTTAGCCTGTGCTTGCAACCAGCTTCACCACACCCATTTGCTGAACCAGCCACAGTGGCAAAATGTGGGCAGGGCCTAGAGGGAAAAGTGAGGTGGGGGAGGTAAATATTCTCTTGCCCTTAAGCTTTAACATTTCACAGGCATAGAACAAGCCTAATTCTTAAACTTCTGATTTTTTCCATATCAGATAACATAGATTAGGGCCTATGAGGCCTTTAACCAGGTTAAGTAAAAGATGCTATCAACTTACAGGCACCTTGAATCAGAAATAGCCACAAGTATTTCTAATTCACTTTTGCACAAAATAAGTTACAGTTCCCTAACAGTGGTAGTGGAGAAAGCTCAGGAACTATCAGCATTAGAAATCAATTCTTAACATGTATAGTACCTCTCTCGCTGAATCATTAATCCTCACATCACCTCTGTAAGAGAAGTATATACTTTTGGGGATGAAGGAAAACAGATGTTAATAGACTTTCCAAAGACCTTGCAGCAGATCATTGGCCGAGTTGGAATTAGAATTTGGATGCAATATAAGAACCTGAAAAGAACAGAGACCAGCTTTCTGTTCTACTTAAGCCAGGCTGCCTACACTGAATTTTATACTTTCTAACCATCCCAAAAGGATAGTGTACCTCTCCCAAAGGGGTACTGAAGTTCATATTCAAACAAAAAACTGGATGGTTTAGGTAACTGGTAGTGCAGTATAGGGTTAAAGGTCTACATTCAAATTCTATTATCTGGAAGTCGGTATGGAGTTCTTCAGTGTTTAAACAAAGCAATTTGTGAAAGGATATGAGGGGGAAAATAACTTTAGATGATCTACAATGATCTCTTCTGAAAATACAGGTCCCAACAGAAGTAATCTAATGTATTCAAAAGGCTAAAGATTTGCTTTGTAACCATTTCTTTGACTAGAGAATCAGTGGTCACTACCAAGCAGTTTTCCTGCCCCATTTTTGGGTACTGGCACTCTTCAGAAGGCAGGGAAGTTTCTCTCGCACACACACAGCTGGTTGGAAATTTTTCAACAAAATGCTAAAGGGTCTCATGAAAGTGAGTCAAGTTCAGGCTTGTACTGAATCACAGGCAGGGTTACAATGGAAACCTGTCTGGCTCCCTGGCAGACTGAGACCACAGGATTTCCAGGGTCTGTGGCAGTCCTATCATGCAATGAAGTCATCCAGGAAACCCATCTTGAGTCAGGGCTTCCAGGCTCCCTGGTACACACCTGGGAGCCCCAGAACAAAATCAAATTTAGAAATTTCTTGTGATCCCACATTTCAGCCAGCTCTACACACGATACCATTCATATAAAAAGTATCAGTTGTATCAACTCTGTCAGTAATAAAAGTGAATGAGTACGGAGGATAAATCATCTTCAGCTAAGTCTCTTCAGCTACTGTGGGTGCTGTGTGACTAAGCCACTGCAAATAAAGTACACACGACAGTTTTGTTTTATTTGCTATAGTTTTATTTCCTATGGAAAGAAACTTGCTACATTTCCAGAATCTTTTAAAATTAACTTGTAACAATTTGTATACAATGGTGAATAACAAAGTTACTTCTGTATATAGTTAAAACAAAGGCAAATTGAAATTTATACTGACCTCTGATATCAAGCAATTTCATTTTGAAAAAACAAAAACCCAAAAGGTCTTATTTGATTTGGCTTTCCCTACAAATGTAATTTAGAAATAATACTTCTTACATACCAAATACAAAAAACTCATTTTAAAATCAATTCAACAACTGTTCTAAAACTGTAACTTTTTGATTTTAGGAATTAGAGTTCAAAAGTCATTCCAAGGGGAGAAAACGACAATAGCTTCTGTTCCCCAGGAAAATAGTTTACAAACCAGTGCTTTGGTAAAACACTGCGAAGCCTTTTCTTAGGAGTAAACAACTGCTCTAATTTTAAAAGTCTTAGAACCCCAACAGAATAAAATGAGCAAACATAAAAACCTATTTTAAAAATAGGTTACCAGTTTAGAAAGAAAAACAAAAATGCATTGGGGTGAGGTAGTAGTCACAGTGCATCCAAAAATATGAATTATAAGGGCCAGAGCTACTCAGAAGAGCCTTTCTGATTTAATGTGTTCACTGAAGGAAGTTATTACAAGATGTGAAAGTGCAATCTGACTAATATATAGGGTACTAAACTCCATTCTAGAAATAGGCCACTGGAAAAATGGTTTAAATGAATATGTAACATCTAATAATTACTGTAGTAGATAGTTTACAAAATTAGTCCCTATGCTCTAATGAATATGCACATTGAGTTAGATTATAGGCTAAACCATAGGGCAGTAAGTTGGTACTTACTGAAACTTCAAAAAATGTACTTCTGACTCCCCCCCATAAATTAGTTTTACCCCAATATTAAACTATGTCCAGAAGCTTAAGAAACCCATACTGCACAAATCTCTCAACTTCTGATTTATTCCTGCCTGCATCTACTCAAACAGCAAGACACACACGGAACTGCTGACCTGTCCTCCTTGACACTAAAGTGCTGCCTTTGTTAAATGATGATCCAGTAAAAGCCTTTAAAAACCTTGCGACAGCCAAGGCTTGACCACCCCCACTTCTTTTCTATCCCCTGGGCCCAGTACAGTCTCCTAGTGGACTAACTGTATTTGACTGCCTGCATGGCACTAACATTGTATAATTAAGTGCAGCTTTCTGGCTCCTCAATTATTATTTATGGTGGCAATAGCCACATATGCATCCATACAGTAATGTGCTCAGAGCTCTACTCCAGCAGTTTGAGTTATAACTTGTTTTGAGCTGGCATAAAAGCACTCAACCTTCTACCACCACTGACATTTTTGACCATTTAAATATCACTAGTTCCTCACCACACCTAGTACCTTTTCTTCAAATGATTACATTTCACATTGTGTTCCATATTCAATTTTAGTCTAGAGCAGTAGATGGAATATACAGTAAATTATTTCAGCTAAACATAATTCCTACCTTTCATGCCAACACTTCTAGAGTAAATCCTTATTTTAAGGGGGTTCCCCCCCCTTTACTTTTTAAAACAAGAGCCTCATTTTCTCTGAAAAATGAAGAGCAAGAATTTCAAATCAGATATTGCTGCCTCAGTGTCTAAGAATGGGCAAAGGCAACCAATTACATTCAAAATTGAAAGGAACTCCCAAGCTTTCCCTTTCCAAAGAGGCATCTTTAAAAAGGGGAAAAAATATTAATGTGGAGAAAAATGAAGTGCAGTAGCTAATTCTAGATACAGAGTTTAATAACAAAATCATGACAACCTTGGTGCAAGCCAAGAAATTCAGTTCAGCTGGTGGAAGAATTTTACTTTCTTCTTAAGTATCAAGTGCATTTTTGCAGTTCACACACACTTTAGTTATTGCTCAATAACTATGAAAGAACAGAGGAATACTTTCACTTTAGTTTTATTATATTATATAACAGATCTGCAACTACAGCATATTTCAGCCAAAACATTTTTTGTATTCCAAACTCTTAAAAAACTATCTACATTAATCATTTTTTCTATTCTTAAAAAAAAAAAAACCTACCTAGCATACCAATGCTGCTACAGCACTTGAAAGGGTGCATTACTTATGTATATTCTACTGTAAATGTAATTACTGTTGTAGCCATTGTTCTTCCTTTCCTTCCACTCTGCTGCTTTGGCTTCAGGTTTCAAAAAGTTTGTTAAAAGCTGATCCAACTTCTGAAATCATATCAGATGTAGTCATTGAACGTCCACATTTTTGAAAGGCTTGGTTGTTACATTGCCTTGTAAGAGAACAAGCACCAAATGCAGCCACTAGAAAAGGATTTTGACTAAAGGAAAAAGGGAAAAAAATCATGTTAATTTTCTTTAAACACTTACACAGGGGAACCTTGCACAATCCCAAAAGGTAGTGGCTTATGAAAATGGAGGGTTACAGTAAAAATTTTAAATTCAGCTGGAATACACTGCTGTCTTGTTACTGAATTTAGTGTTAACATAATTTATATGCATGAATGATTTCTGTTATTAATTCTGAGATTCTTCAGTGCTTCCATGTACCTTCTTGATGCTTACATTTTCTATAGCTGTAAGACTTTCTCAATATTAGAGTGAAGCATATTTATCCTCATTTACCACCTTATACTGGTTCTTACATTTCCATATTACAGACCCTCGTTAGGCTAGAAATTCCATTATGAAAGTTTCTCCCCTTAGCGCCTTCCCCCCCTCCCCCAGTGATATAGTACTCAATTATATGAAAAGTATTATGAGGACAGAAGGACAAGATAAAAACAGACTTGCTTTAGTGTAATGGGGGAGTGCTTAAGTCCATTCCTATCTTGTATCTGTATATGACATTTCTTTTTCCTGAGGGAGGGCTTTACATTTGTTAGTACCAAATCTCTCCTCCTTCAAGTGCTTGCTCATGTCCATTCCAAAGTAGGTGAGTACTTGCCCCGAGCAGAGCCGCCAGAAAGCTTTTCCCTTAGTGACATCTGTCGGATTAGTTCTGGTGCCCCCTGGAGTCGTGTGCTCATAGCACTGGTATAAAGAGGCCTGCCACCTCCTCAATTCCTTCTTACCACCCGTGAGTCATTGGAACTTCAGCTCATCCTTGCAAGTACCTCTGTCAGTGGACTTTGTTCTATTGCCTGTACATAGTTATTTGTAGTGGTTAGGTTTCAGTTAGTTTGTTAGTAAGTTAGTTAGATTAGTGGACTGTGCTTAGTGCGGCTAGCTCTCCCCCAGCACTGGGGCATGCCTCAGTCCCTGGGGTTTAAGCTGTGTGTCTCATGCCATAAGCTGATGCTGGTTAGTGACCCCCAATCCAGCTGCCTCAAGTGTGTGCGGGAGGCCCACGTGCAGGAGCGCTGCAGGATCTGTAAAGGATTCAGGCCCTGCACTAAGACAGACAGGGACACCAGGCTTAAGCTCTTCTTCATGGAGGTGGTACTTCATCCTCCCTCAGAGCCAGGCCAGGCCAACTTGGCACCGAGTACTTTGGCCTCAGTAAGAAGCACACCAGCTTCTCTTAGACAGATGCAATGCTGTTCTGCTCTGGCGCCAAGGAAAGACGTTCCTTGGGCTTCTTGGTATTCCCGGCTCCGACAGTCATCCCTGGTGCCGAACATGACCACTCCTGCAAGGGACTCTTGGCACCGCTCTCCTCGGCCGGCGCCGAGAAAGCAGCAGAAGAAAACTGACCAGGGGTGATCCCAACACAGAGATACTGTCAGAATATGACCCATGCCGGGCCACTCAGATACCTGCTGTACAGTTGGTGCTGTTGACTCCAACCCCAGGAAGGGCTCCGTTGAGTCTGGCACCTCTGAACTCTCCAACAAGAGAGAGCCCTTGGACAACTACCCTGGTGTTACCATCCACGCCAGAGGCAGCAAGGGAGGAGCCATCGCTCCCAAAACCACCGTCCCCACCATTTGGGAGTTGTCAGTGGTAGCACAAGAGGCACTGACCCCAGGTGCTGTCGAAAGCGGCCACGATAGCACAGCACCAGTCTCCTCCCTCCTGGCACTGCTCAACTGGCACCACTTCACCTTGGTCGCCAGGAAGCATCTCCTTGAAGTTGGACTCAGAGGTGGCGTCCACCTCCCTCAGGAGCCGACACTGCTCTGGTCTGCGTTACCTGATGGCTGACATGAGTCAGGGCATTCCACCGGTAGCCTGGCCATCAGCGCAGTGGCAGAAGCCTCTACCCACACCGTCACTTCCCTTGAAATAGGGACCAAGTTCTGGTACTGAAGCTGGTGCTGAATTTCAAGATCCGGCACCGCAAGACCCATCTGGTGCCGAGGAAGAGGAACAATACCCCTTGCCTGTACAGGCTTCCACTTCCTCTTCCTCTCCCGATGAGGTGGTGGCGGGAACAAATATAGCACCCTCCCAGGACGATTATAAGGAGCACCAGGAGTGCCTCAAAAGGGTAGTTCAAAACCCAGGGATCCAGGTACAGGAGATTACAGAGTCCTCCAATGTCCTGGTGGACATTCTTGGGCCATTAGACCCAGCAGGAGTAGTTTTGCCCTTGAATGAGACCATTTTGGACCTGATAAAGGCCTTATGGCAGACCCCAAGATCCCTGCAACCAACAGCAAAAAGGAGGGAGAAGTAGTACTTTGTTCCTCTACACCCATCCTCCACCAGGATCACTGGTGGTAGCAGTGGCCAGCAAGCGAGAATAGCAAGGTCCAACTCCCAAGACCAGAGATGCCAAAAAATTAGACCTTTTTGGCAGAAAGGTCTGTTCAACTGCTAGCCTCCAGCCCAGGATTGCAAACCAGCAAGCGCTCCTGAGCCGTTAGGATTTTAATTCTTGGAATTCTGTGGCAAAATTCAAGGAACTATTGCCAGAGGAGTCCAGGAATGAATTATCAGCCCTATTTGAGGAGAGAAAACTGGTGGCAAGGGCATCCTTACAGGCAGCCTTGAACGCAGCAGACTCTGCAGCCTGACTCATGTCTTTGGCTGTGGTTCTGAGAAGCTCTTGGTTTCAGCCCTTGGGCTTACCCTATGAAGTGCAGAAGCCCTTACAACACCTCCCCGTTGAGGGTACATTCCACTTCTTGGAGCAGACGCCAAACTGCACAGCCTGAAGGACTCAAGAGCCACCCTGAAGTCCCTAGGGCTACATACACCGGATCCAACTAGGAAGCACTATAAGCCCCAACTGGTTGCTTGCTTCTATCTGCCACAGTCATAACAAGACTATAGTAAGGGAAGATGCAGAGGTTACAAGAGGAGACCTCCATCTCAGTCCTCATCTGCTTCCATGCCTGCCCCCGTCCGAGGTAATCAATAAGGTCTAAGCAGGCCTTTTGATAGGACGCGCAGGGACGACATACCAGGAGAATATATGGATCTCATTTCCCCCATTTTTGTGGACCAGTTATCCCACTTCTATCGAGCATAGGTCTGCATTACCTCGGATCAGTAGATGCTATGCACGATAGCACTGGGATACACCCTTCAGTTCAGTTGTTCCCCTCCTTTCCACTCCCACCCTCCATCCTTCCTTCAGGGACCCTTCTCACGAGCAACTCCTGAAAGTAGGAGCAGTGGAGGAAGTTCTGCCAGAATTAAGGGGCCGGGGGTTCTACTCCCATTATATCCTAATCCCGAAAGCCAACAGAGGTCTCAGACTGATTATGGACCTGAGACACCTCAACAGATTCATGAAGAAGCTGACATTTTGTATGGTCTCCTTGGCCTCCATCATCCCCTTGCTGCCTTCGATTTGAAGGATGCTTATTTTCACATTTCAATCTTTCAGGGTCACAGAAGATTCCTCAGATTCATTGTGAGCCACGTGCGCTACCAATTTGCCGTGCTTCCATTCAACCTGTCAGTTGCCCCTCAGGTGTTCACGAACTGCATGGCAGTTGTCGCAGACTTCCTCAGGAGACAGGGGGTTCAGGTCTACCCTTTGCTCCATGACTGGCTGATCAGAGGTCGGACCAAGGCCCAGTTGGAGTCAAATGTAAATTTAATACAGTCAACTTTCCAGGATTTAGGTCTGTTGATAAATATGCAGAAGTCTACTCTCTCTCCCCAGTTCTGAAGATAGAATTCACTGGGGGTGATCCTCAACTTGATTCAGGCCAGAACCGTCCCCCTGGAAACCTGGTTCTGAGCAATTGAGGTCCTCAAAGAGAGCCTCAGAAATCATCCCAGCACCACTGCAAGAAACTGCCTAAAGCTCCTAGGACATATGACATCATGCACCAACGTGGTGCAGCATGCAAGTTTATGGCTCAGACCTCTTCAGGCTTGGCTGGCATTGGTATACATGCTAGCTTGACACCACCTGTAGACATGGTTGTCACAATTCCCTCTTCGGTGATCGCCACCCTTTGGTGGTTAGACCCATGGGCAGGAATCCCATTTTCGAGACCTCAACCATCAATGTCTCTCATCACAGACATGTCAGCAATGGGATGGGGGGCGGGTGCTCCCTCAAAACTCAGAGCAGTTCGCCTAGCCTGCTAAGTGTTCCAACCCCACCTGGAGGACAGGACTTTGTGTTGGCAAGGGTAACGGGACCTCCATTTGAACTGCTGGCAATGTACTCTCTGCTTTACTTATCCAGGAAGGTGGCCTTCCTGGTGGCCATTACTTCTGCCAGAAGGGTCTTGGAGATCTGAGCCCTTATTTCAGAACCATCTTATACACTCTTCTTCAAGGACAAGGTTCAATTGCAGCCACATCCAACCTTCCTTTCAAAGGTGGTCTCCCAATTCCATAATAACTGGGATATCTTCCTACCAGAAGCCACATACTCACAGGGAGGAACAGACTCCACTCACTAGATGTTAGATGTGTGTTAGCCTTCTACATAGAAAGGACTAAACCTTTTAGAAGAATCTACTCAGCTTTTGTAGCCATTGCAGACAGAATGAAAGGCCTTCCAGTCTTGGCCCAGAGAATGTCATTGTGGGTCTCTTCCTGTATCTGCACGCTATGACCTGGCAAAGGTCCCCGCTCCTCCTGCCATGATGGCACATTCTACAAGGGCTCAAGCATCTTCAGTGGCATTTGTGGTTCAAGTTCCTATCCAGGACATCTGTGGAGCGGCAACATGATCATCAGTCCACACTTTTGCATCTCATTACGCCATCACCCAGCAGGTGAGAGACAAAGCGGGTTTCAGCTGAATGGTATTATCATTAGTATGAACTCTGAACCCTCCACCTCCGCAACTGCTTGGGAGTCACCTACTTTGGAATGGACATGAGCAAGCACTCAAGAAAAAATAATTACTGTTCTTCGAGATGTGTTGCACACATAGTTAAAGCAGTACCAAACTGTGTAGACA